AAAGGGCCATTCCTGGCATAGTTTCTGGATGCTCGCCCCTTTATTGATTTCTTTACGCTGCGTGTAATAGGTGCACGTGACTAGTTCTTTCACAACATCTGTACTACAGTTACTCTTTTTAAACAATTTCTTCATTTCTTCTTTATTTCAAGTTGACTCTCCACGGTCTCAGAGAGTGGCAAATGCTTTGGCTCCCAGCTAATACAGCCATATGTGTCTTGAACCCTTGCTTTTTGTTCAGCTGGTATTTCGTCTGTGTCGTTGCCATCATCTGATATTGCTTTGCGTTTTTTTATCTTTGGTGTGTCAGGTCGCTTGACATTTTCAACTCTTGCCTGAAGTTGCTTTACCAGGGAATGATGTCCAGGTCCAATAACATCACCATCAATCACATCTTGAAGAGACTTGGGATACTTGGCCACCAACCTTTTTGCTATCTCTGTAGTATTATGTTTGGTTGGATTCTTACAAATCTTCATCATTCCTCGTCTTTGTCTTGCGCTTGGTCTTTTCTGTCTTTCCAAGTTCTGTACCAACTCCTCAGGGAGCCTCTGCCATGGTATCTCAAAACTCTCTACCCAGTTTGGTAGTAATGGTGTAAAGATTCCTGAAGGTGATGAAGTAGTGGTGGATGATGTTGGTGAAGAAGAAATTGAGGGTGGAGAAAGGACATCCACTGGAGAGCAATGTACAGCAATTGGTGTTGAAGTGCAAGAGACTTTAAAAGTACATAGAAAAAGAGATATGAAAGCATCAAATCATTTTTTCTGTTGTGTTAAATTCTGCACTGCTTAGATACATTTTGAGATATTAGGATTACACAGCGTGGCCAAAACTTAAAAATGCAATTTGTCTGATAGATTGCATTTCGAAACTCAAAATGTATTAACTGCCCCACAAAGCATCAAGTTTTATTTACACAGAAAGCATGGTTAAATAATAATGGACACATCATCAGACTCAGAAACACTCATATTCTAACTATTTCCAACTTCAACAGCCCTCTGTGCGTTTGGTGTGGTGACAATGTTTTACACTTACCATTTTGGGTCCAGGCAGCCACTAGTCTTCTGGCTTGTATGGGCTTGAGCACTGGCAGCAAGTCATTTTCAGTAATGTACTTCAAGTCATGTGTGGTTTCTGCACCAAGTGTTTTCAAAGTATCTTCTACTGACTTGAGAAGTTGATCAGGAAGGTCCGGAAGCACTCCTGCAATTGCATCCCCTATGTTCTTTAAGGTAAGCACCTGCGATTCAGCCATATCTGTTAAGACACACATACAGTTTGGCTCTGGCCCAATGACATCAAGGCATTCAGTCTGACAAGACGCTGTGCTTCAGTGGAACAATCTGGTGTCCGTTTTTCACGTAAGATGATAACGGCCACAAGTCAATCAGTTCACTGATGAGTCTGCACTCTAATCTCCCAGTGTCATTTTTTACAGAGTACATGTGGTAGCAAGAAATACATTCTGCATCATAAACTCTCATGAGAAAATGAAGAGCAGACTCATCTTTAATAAGAATGAGGAGAAGTTCACCAAACTCCACTAACTGATCAAACTTAGTGACAATAAACTGACCCTTCCTGTAAGTAAGGCCATTATACTGAACCGCAACTGGAATCTTTGTATTGCTTTCAGTAAAGCCAAAATGTAGGACTGCATCTTTAACTTGCTCACTGTAAAGCTCTGAGTAAAATGGTGAGCAATCTTTTATTTGCAATGCTGGAGGACTCACTGACCCAGCAGAAAGGAAGGCCTGAAACATCTGATGTCTCTCTGAAAGTGTCAAGCACAGATTTTTGAAATCTTTCAGATGCCTTGCACATCTTTTGAAGTAGCTGTGTTTGCTCTCAAAGCGCATTGTCCACAGCCTGATGAGAGGGCCAAATTTTAGGATCAGCCCTGGATAATGTCGTAAGTAATGGTGTTTAGGTCTTAAGTTGATATTAGGAAACAGCACCTTTCTGGTTTCCAAATACTCTTGGATGAGAGCATCCAGATAAGTAACCTGAGCCTTGGAAACTTGCTGAGCACAAATTAGGTCAACAATGTCCTTAAGCTGCAATGTTAGCTGCCACGCATCATCTTGAGAGTTCTGCACTCTGTCTCCAATTATGAGAGGTAAAAGTCTCAAGAAGTTCCAATTTTGAACAGCTTGTCCACCAAGTTTCAATGTTTTTGGACTGACCTCACAAGGTTTGGATGGAGCATATGTTTCTTTGTATTTAAATTGCTTGATGCGCCTGTTCAGAATTGGGTAAGTGAACCATTTCTTTTTGTTGATGAAGTACTTAAGGTAAAGAGCAAGCTCGTATGAGAGGACACCCTCAAAAATGTCATGACTGAGACATGGGGGCATGCCAGGTGTGCAAACATCAAAGATTTGTAAAGAATTAAATACAGACCTGAACTTTATCCCCTGAACTTCTGACACATCTTCTCGTTCCAGCTGTTCAGTGGCAGATCTATACATTTCTGGGGTCCGCTGAGGTCCACACACTGCTGGATCAGCACCCTGAAACTCAGTTCGAGTTAACAGACAATATCTGCATAAGTACACTGATGAACTAAAATTTTCTGTAAAACCCCCAATACAATGAGAGCCCAGGTTGTCTCCAGCAATGCAGTAGAGTGCTCCTTTCACAACAGGTTTGTCTGCCATTGTTATCCCATTCTCCTCTAGTACCTTCAAATCATTCAGGAGTTCTGAAAAAACACTGTCATGGCCAAATTCCTTGAAATCCTTCTCCCTACACAGAAGACTAGCTGCATATGATCAGCATTTGACCGGGCATGGGGGTGGGGGGTGTGTGTTGAGTATAGATAAGTGCACAGCCAAAACCTTGTGCTTCTTTTTTGCAGAACCAAGTGGGTTAACTACTTCAAATGCATCCTGGTACAGAACCAGCTTGAGGCAATGCGGATTTTCCTGAAAAAATTTGTTTGACACAAACACGTTTCCATCACAACAGTCCCTGAGAACATCTGGTCTTGAAACATTATTAGGATCCACTGATATGAGACCTTGCCAAAAACTTGATTCCAGCATACTCTTCAAAGTATTTAGCAGAGGAACATAATAGGCAAATCTCTCCATCCTGTTCTCGTCCCTGCCCAAAAACACTTTTCTGGGTTCAACATACTTGAACACATCTTTAAAGCACTGAACTCTTGAATAAGCAGTTCTCATGGGCCCTGTGTGACAAGCTGAGAACAAGTCAGATTGTTTTACTGTGTCACAGATTTTTATAATGTCTTCATCTGAAACTGACATATCTTTTAGAAGTGAGCTTAGTCTATTCAATGTATACATCTGTCCCAATTCATGTATATTTTGTATTTCTTCAACAATGGTTTGAATGGTAGATGCTGGTAGAAGATGCTGTCCCTGTAGTTTTATGTAAAACACACATACATTTCTGAGATACAGGTCACTGAAATTAGACCCATCCATACCAGGGTCTTCTGTATCTGATACACTGGCACCTTCCTGTATGGTGGCACTTGTAGATAGACTCTCTGACTGAATATCTTTGCGACTCTCTGACTGAATATCTTTGCTTAAACCACAAATCACATTTTCCAAACGTTTGTGTTTTCTAGACATATGGGAGGTAAATGTAGATTTTACAGAGAACACACTTTGGCATCCTCTCACTGGACAAGTTACATGCCGTCCCTCTTCTATGTGTTCCTTTAAGTGAGCAATCAAAGCTTTAGTTCCCTCACATTGGCGTTCACAAAGTGAGACAGTGCAATTCAAACCCATTAAGGTACCATTCTGAGAAACAGTTGCGGTACCAGTGTGGTGGCGGTAGAAGTGAGACTTTAAAGCAGCATATCCAGAAAACACCTGCTTACAACTTACTTCAACACATTTAAAAATACACCGGGGTTCATTACGATGCAGTCTGCAATGCAAAACATAAGCTTTCACGGACTGAACCGATTCTCCACATATGCTGCAAAAATACATAGTCAATATGACACAGCTGCAAGGCTAGCTAACTTAAAGCTTCAGCTGTATGTCAAACAAGGCGGGAAAACCCAGGCCGCATTTAGACAAAGCATTCAAATATAGCTATACTAATTAGACGGTTTCCATTAATACACCCGTCTCCAAAACACGTCTTAAAACGCGCACTGCTGGTTTTGCAAGGCTCTTTTCAGCCGAATGTAGCTAACGCTAATGCTAGAAATGAGCTAAAGCTAACGTAAATTTATAATTTGCACATTCCCTGCCTGCAACACAATGCTGTCGATAAATAAACCAAGTTGGATTATTTTATTACCTTAGTAACTGAAGACGACCTGTAGTAGACGTTAAAATGAGAAACAAGTCCACGAAAATTAAGATGGCGTGCTGCCGTAGTCAAAGCAAGAGGAGCAAGATGGCGCCCTTGGTCGGCTGCGTTTCTGCTCGGCTCCCGACCTTTTTTGTTTTTCTATTCTATTTTATGGTTTGTTCGATATATAGCGGTGATTTTCTGCTGGCGTATGATCGGGACTTCCTGCTCTCGATCCAGTACAGAATGGACAACCTCTAGTACTCTAATGCGGGACACCCTTTTCCGCCGCCGCTGGAGACTGACGCTAACCTAACGTTAGGGCCTTTGTTGCCCCATGCTTTCCCACCACCGCTGGAGAGTGATGTTAACCAAGCCTTCGGGCTTGCGTTGCCTTTTGGTTTACTGCTGCCCCGGAGACCGTGGAAAAAGAAACGGGGGAAACATGGCAGCTTCTTCGTTCAGCTCCGAAGGATCCGGTGCGGTGAAGCCGTATCAGAGTGCTGCTCCGCGACTGTGATGTGGCGGATCCAGCGCCATCTCAACCGTGGTGGGCTGATCTCGCTGCTACCGGGAGCGCACGGAGCTGAATGTTCCATGGATGCGTCTGAAATGAGGATGTCCTGCTGGCTGGGAGCTCTCGGAGCGGAGAGCTGCATGAGTGCGTGGGATATGAGGATGTTTCGCCAGCCGGGTGCCCACGCACGTTTCGGCTGCTCTCGTTCTGGCCGGCCCATTCAGTGGGGAAGAAATCCCGCCAACCTGCGGTATGTTACAAGATCTGATGGAACCGGACTTTCTCTACAATCGGGTACTCAGTCGACTCGCTTTGCGCTGATCAACGCCAGATCGGTTGGAAATAAATCTTTTATTCTGAAGGAATTCTTCCAGAACAACAGCCTGGATGTTTTATGCGCCACTGAATCATGATCAACCATGGGGATTCGGCCGCAATAGTCGAACTGTTACCTCCTGGATGCTCCTTCATTAACATTCCAGGAGCACATCGCAGGGGCGGAGGTCTATTGACTTTATTTAAAGCAGATCTTATCTGCACACCGATTACCCCTCAATCAACTCCATTATCCTTTAAATTAAGCGTGTTTGAATTGGGACATTCGCCTACACTGTTATGTGCTCTCATTTACCGTCCACCACCATACAATAAGGATTTTCTAAATGAATTTGCAGCTTTTCTGGCTGAAGTCTCCTGTAGATACGGAAAAATACTCTTGCTTGGTGATTTTAATATTCATGTCTGCTACCCTGACAAACCTTTGGTAAGGGATTTCCTAGATCTCATCGACTCTTTTAGCTTGTCCCAACGTGTGAGTGGGCCCACACATGGTCATACACACACACTTGACCTGGTTTTCTGTCATCAGCTGGAAATTAGTGATCTTGGCATTTTACCTGTGACTTTTTCAGATCACTCACCAGTGTTGTTAATTTGAAATTGGACTATGCCCCTCATATTGAATATTTCCATCCCAGCTTCTCTCGCATAATCAGACCCAATACTGCTGCAGATTTTGCCGCTGTTCTTACTCTGAATTCAGCTCCATATGATTCTACTGATGCATCTTCTGTAGTTGAGGGATCACTTCGTGTGCTTTATTCATCCTGCCTGGCTGCTATGGATATTGTCGCTCCATTAAAATCACTCCCTATTAAAATCGCTCCTCCTTGAACCGTCACCTTATCGTGGTGGAGGAGTTTGAGTGCCCTAATGATCCTAGGAGCTATGTTGTCTGGGGCACTTAGTGCCCCTGGTAGGGTCTCCCATGACAAATTGGTCTTACGTGAAGGGTGAGACAAAGAACGGTTCGAAGGATCTTTCATGGCGGTTAAAACAAAGAGTCGGAGTACCCGGCCCGGAGGGTTACCGGGGTCCCACCCTGGAGCCAGGCCTGGGGTTGGGGCCCGTGGGCGAGCGCCTGGTGGCCGGGCTTTCGCCCATGGGGCCCGGCCAGGCCCAGCCCGAACCGGATACATGGGCTCGTCCAACTGTGGACCCACCACCCGCAGGAAGAACATGAAGGGTCCGGTGCAATGCGAATCGGGTGGCAGACCAAGGCGGGAGCCTTGGCAGTCCAATCCCCGGACAAGAAAACTAGTTTTTGGGACATTGAACGTCACCTCGCTGGCGGGGAAGGAGCCGGAGCTTGTGGCAGAGGTTGAGCGGTACCGGCTAGATATAGTCGGACTCACCTCGACACATTGCATTGGCTCTGGAACCCGAGACCTGGAGAGGGGTTGGACACTCTACTTTGCTGGAGTTGCTCCGGGTGAGAGGCGGAGGGCTGGGGTTGGCTTTTTGTTAGCCCCGAGACTCTCTGCCTGTGTGTTGGGGTTTACCCCGGGGGACAAGAGGGTAGCTTCCTTGCGCCTTCGGGTCGGGGAACGGGTCCTGACTGTTGTTTGTGCTTATGGGCCAAATATCAGTTCAGAGTACCCACCCTTTTTGGAGTCCCTGGGACGAGTGCTAGATAGTGCTCCATCAGGGGACTCCATTGTCCTGCTGGGGGACTTCAGTGCTCACGTGGGCAATGACAGCTTGACCTGGAGGGGTGTGATTGGGAGGAACGGCCCACCTAATCTGAACCCGAGCGGTGTTTTGTTATTGGACTTCTGTGCAAGCCGCAGTTTGGCATAACGAACACCATGTTCGAACATAAGGATGCCCACCGGTACACTTGGTACCAGGGCAGCCTAGGTCACAGGTCGATGATAGATTATGTAGTCGTATCATCTGACCTGCGGCCGTATGTTTTGGACACCCGAGTGAAGAGAGGGGCGGAGCTGTCAACTGATCACCACCTGGTGGTGAGTTGGATCAGATGGCAAGGGAACATGCCGCGTAGACCTGGCAGACCCAAATGCATAGTGAGGGTCTGCTGGGAACGCCTGGCAGAAGAACCTGTCAAGACGGTCTTCAACTCCCACCTCCGGCAGAGCTTTGGCCACGTCCCGAGAGCAGTGGGGGACATTGAGTCCGAGTGGGCCTTGTTCCACTCTGCGATTGTCGAGGCGGCTGTTGCTAGCTGTGGTCGTAAGGTGGCCGGTGCCAGTCATGGTGGCAACCCCCGTACCCGCTGGTGGACACCAGAGGTTCGGGGAGCCGTCAGGCTGAAGAAGGAGGCCTACAGGGCGTGGCTGGTCTGTGGGTCTCCGGAGGCAGCAGGCAGGTACCGGATAGCCAAGCGGGGTGCAGCAGTGGCAGTTGCCGAGGCAAAATCTCGGGCGTGGGAGGAGTTTGGTGAGGCCATGGAGAAAGACTATCGATCGGCTCCAAAGAGGTTCTGGCAAAATGTCCGGCGCCTCAGGAGAGGAAGGCAGCAACTCGCTCACACTGTTTACAGTGGGGATGGGGAGCTGCTGACGTCAACTGAGGCTATAGTCGGACGGTGGAAGGAATACTTTGAGGAGCTCCTCAATCCCACCAATGCGCATTCCGAGGAGGAACCAGAGCTGGGAGGCCTGGGGAGGGACTGTCCGATCTCAGGGGCAGAAGTTGCTGAGGTAGTCAAACAAGTACACAGCGGCGGAGCCCCGGGGGCGGATGAGGTTCGTCCTGGGTATCTCAAGGCTATGGATGTTGTAGGGCTGTCATGGTTGACACGTCTCTACAACATTGCGTGGTCATCGGGGGCAGTTCCTAGGGAGTGGCAGACCGGGGTGGTGGTCCCCATCTTTAAGAAGGGTGACCTGAGGGTGTGTTCCAACTATAGGGGGATCACACTCCTCAGCCTCCCTGGAAAGGTCTACTCCAAGGTACTGGAGAGGAGGGTCCGATCGATAGTTGGATCTCAGATAGAGGAGGAGCAATGTGGTTTTCGTCCTGGCCGTGGAACTGTGGACCAGCTCTATACACTTGCAAGGGTGATGGAGGGGGCATGGGAGTTTGCCCAACCAATCCACATGTGCTTTGTGGATTTGGAGAAGGCTTATGACCGTGTCCCCAGGGGCACCCTGTGGGGGACGCTCCAGGAGTATGGGGTGGGTGGCTTTCTGTTAAGGGCCATTCAGTCCCTTTACCAGAGGAGCGTGAGTTTGGTCCGCATAGCCGGTAGTAAGTCGGACCTGTTCCCAGTGAGGGTTGGACTCCGCCAGGGCTGCCCTTTGTCACCGGTTCTGTTCATCACTTTTATGGACAGAATTTCTAGACGCAGCCGTGGTGTGGAGTGTGTCGAGTTTGGTGGCAGGAGAATCTCGTCTCTGCTTTTTGCGGATGATGTGGTCCTCCTAGCTTCATCCAGCTCTGACCTTCAGCTCTTGCTGGGTAGGTTCACGGCCGAATGTGAAGCGGCTGGGATGAGGATCAGCACCTCCAAATCTGAGACCATGGTTCTCGACCGGAAAAGGGTGGCTTGCCACCTCCGGGTCGGGGGAGAGGTCCTACCTCAAGTGGAGGAGTTTAAGTATCTCGGGGTCTTGTTCACGAGTGAGGGTAGGAGGGATCGGGAGATCGACAGGCGGATTGGTTCGGCGTCTGCAGTGATGCGGACGCTGAGCCGATCTGTCGTGGGGAAGAGGGAGCTGAGCCAGAAAGCCAGGCTCTCGATTTACCGGTCGATCTACGTCCCAATCCTCACCTATGGTCATGAGCTTTGGGTAATGACCGAAAGAACGAGATCGCGGATACAAGCGGCCGAAATGAGTTTCCTCCGTAGGGTGGCCGGGCTCAGCCTTAGAGATAGGGTGAGGAGCTCGGACATTCGGGAGGGACTCGGAGTAGAACCGCTGCTCCTCCAGATCGAAAGGAGCCAGTTGAGGTGGTTTGGGCATCTGGTCAGGATGCCTCCTGGACGCCTCCCTGGGGAGGTGTTTCGGGCATGTCCTGCCGGCAGAAGGCCCCCGGGTCGACCCAGGACACGTTGGAGAGGTTACATCTCCAATCTGGTCCGGGAACGCCTTGGGGTTCTGCCGGAGGAGCTGGTGGACAAGGCCGGGGAGAGGACAGCCTGGAGCTCCTTAGTTGGGATGCTGCCCCCGCGAACCGGACCCGGATAAGCGGAGGAAGACGACGACGACGACATTAAAATCAAGTCGAAAGAAATCCAAGCCCGACCCATGGCTGAATGAACAAACTCGTTTCTTGAGATGAAATTGCAGGAGACTGGAACGTAAATGGATAGAAGACAGGCTTACTGTATCCTTTGAGGCCATGAGAGAGGCTTGGTCTCAGTACCAAAGAGCAGTCAGAGGCGCGAGAAATCGTTTTTGCCAGCATTGTCACGGCTAATTCAAATAATCAAGGTGTGTTATATAAAACCGTAAATGCAGTGCTTTCCCCAGTTCAAAAACTATTTTCCTCTGCGTCCGCTGACTTGTGTAGCCAAATCCTTCAGTTTTTCTTAAATAAGATCACTGTAATCAGAGCTCAGATTCACCAAACCAACCATGTTCCTGATTCATTTATCCCCTCTCACGGGAAACTTCAAAGCTTTCAGCCCATCTCTTTGGCCTACCTAGAAAAAACTGTTGCAGCCTTGAAATCCTCTGGCTCCCCAGATGATGTTATCCCACCTCGACTCCTGAAAGAGGTGTTTCCTTTAATTAGCAATAGCGTGCTAGGCATTATAAATAGTAGCTTGACATTGGCTGAAGTTCCTTGTGCCTTTAAACACGCTGTTCTACAACCAATCTTGAAAAAACCCGGCCTCGATCCCACCGATTACTCTAATCTACGACCAATTTCCAAATAACCGTTTTTATCTAAGGTTCTT